GGCATTTATGGAGATAAACTTCTCTCAGAACTGCTTAGCTGTGTCCCAGAGGAGTTGATACTTGTCTCTCCATTGTCATTTTCTTCATAGAACTTTTATTTCCATCTTGATTTCTTCATTTATGAAAGATCATTTAGTAGGAGGTTGTTTAATTTCACGTTTTTGTAGAAATGTGTGTTTCTGTTAGGGTTGATTTCTACTTTTATTCCACTGTGATCTGAGAAGGTACATGGTATGATTTCTATTTTTTTAAATTTCTTGAGATTTACTTTGTGGCCTAGGATATGGTCAATCTTAGAATGTCCCTGAGCTGATGAGAAGAACGTATATTCAGTGGTTTTGGGTAGAATGTCCTGTAGATGTCAGTCAACCAATTGTTCCAGGGTTTTGTTTAAGTCCATTATTTCTTTTTAATTTTCTGTTTGGAGGATCTGTTCATGTGCCGTCAGTGGGGTGTTGAAATCTCTGGTGATTATGGAGTTGCTATTAATCCATTTGCTTAGATCCAGTAAGGTTTGCTTTATGAAACTGGGTGCACCTAAGTTGGGTGCATATATATTTAAAATTGTTATCTGTTCTTGTTGAAGTGTGCCCTTCACCATTATATAATGATGGTTTGTCTTTCACTTCTTTTGTTGGTTTAAAAACTAAATCATCTGAAATTAGAACTGCCACACCAGCCTTCTTTTGGCTTCCACTTGCCTGGAATACTGATCTCCACCCTTTTACTTTTAGTCTATATGCATCCTTGCAGGTTAGATGTGTTTCCTGAAGACAGCATATACTTGGCCTGTATTTTCTTATCCATTCAGCCAGCCTATGTCTCTTGAGTGGAGAGTTTAAGCCATTCACATTTATTGAGAGAACTGATAGGTGAGGTAGATTATTGTTCATTCTGTTGGGTTGGATGTTGTTGCTTTGATTTCTCTCTTGAGCCATTGTATTATCTGGCCTTTAATCTTTGGGTTTTGGTGTGTTTTATATTCGTGAGTTTTATTATGAGGTTCTGTGCGTAACATTATTTTGAGTACTTCTTGTATGGCTGGTCTTGTCTTGGTGAATTCTCTGAGCCTTTACTTATCTGAGAATGTCTTTGTATCTCCTTCATATATGAAGCTTAGTTTTGCAGGGAATAAGATTCTAGGGTGGGCATTGTTTTGTTTCAGAAGAGTGATAATGGAGCCCCAGTCCCTCCTTGCTTGTAAAGTCTCATTAGAGAAGTCTGGTGTTATTCGAACTGGCTTTCCCTTGTATGTCACTTGCTTCTTTCGTCTTACAGCTCTTAGAAGGGCCTCTTTAGTTGATATTTTGGTCAGTCTGATGACTGCATGTCATGATGTTTTCCTGCTTGCATTGAATCTCCCAGGGGTCCTCTGAGCTTCTTGAACTTGTATATCGAGATTTTGAGCAAGGCTGGGGATTTTCCTCTATTATATCTTCAAATAGCTTGTCCAACCTTGAGTGTTGTTTTCTTCCCCTTCTGGTAACCCATGACCTCACATTAGTTTCTTCACATAATCTCACATCTCTTGTAGGCTTTGCTCTTTTCTCTGTTTCTTGCTCTATCTCTGTGACAGTTTTATTTAGTTGGAGGATGTTATCTTCAATCTCTGAGATTCTTTCTTCTGTTTGATCTACCCTGTTCTTGAGACTTTCCACTGTATTTTGTAGTTCCTGGAATTGATTCTTCATTTCCCGGAGTTCGGTTAAACTTTTCTTCATTGTGTCTATTCTTTAGTGAACTTTTGTTCTAGGTCCTGGATTTGTGTATCTTTGTGTGGTTATTGAGTTGTTGTTGCAGGTCGGTGAGTGTTCTTATGATCCACATACCAATGGACCATCAATGTGGAGGTTTGTTTCTGGATTTCCTGTTCTGTTCCGTTAGATCTAGATCACACTACCTTGATTACTATAGCTTTATAGTAAGTTTTAAAATCAGGTAGCATAAGTCATTCAGTGGTGTTCTTTTTTCAAAATTGTTTTGGCTATTGTAGGTCTTTCGCATTTCCATATGAATTTTAGGGTCAGTTCATCTAATTTTCCTTAGGACTCCATACAGCTTTGGAACTGAGCAGGCTCAGGTCCTGGTGGTGCAGGCTGGCAGAGCAGCCGAAGGGCCTGGCCTGCGTAAGGAGCGGCCTTGGTGGTCCTGTGGTGGAGCTTGTGTGCCTGCTGGAGTAGATGACGAAGACGTCAATGGCCCATACAGGGACTTGATATGCCCCTCGGGACTCGGGACCACCTCCCTAGCATATGTGAAAAATTATGGCTGTAATAATTGAGTGTTCACCACTGTCCAGAGCACATTATGTGGATTCCTCAATAGCACTGTGAAGATGGTATGATTATTACCACTACTTTATCGATGAGGAAACTGAAGTTCAGAGTGGTTAAGTCAATTGCATCATAAGTAAATGTCACAGTTAATGTCAAACCCAGTATACTGGACCCAAGGGCATTGCTTGCAAATACTGTGTTATACAGCTCCACCAAAGTTTCTAGAAACAGTAAAGGGAGGGAAAGGCACTTAATAGTTGAGATTAACCAACTAGTGTGCAGAAAAGTGTTAATGTAGCAGGCCTCAGACTGCTGTCCTAGAGAGGCCTACTTGCCAGGTTGGCTCCTGATAGGCATCTGGGAACTTGGGCTTAAGGGGTTCCCACCACTCTGATAAGAGGTGCTCATTGTGCCCAGGCTGCACAAACAGTGGGTTTATCCTGAGCACCTGTTTCCCTTCTGGCACTCTAGAAACTTGGTAGGAGCCGGGCAGACAGTGCCTACATGAGTAGCCACCAATAAAAGCCTTGGTCACTGAGTTTCTAATGAGCTTCCTGGCAGGTAGCACATCACATGTGTTGTCATCATTCAATGCTGACGGAATTATATGTATCCTGTGTGACTCCTCTGAGGGAGGACTCCTGAGGGCCTTCTTCTGGACCTTGCTTTATGCACCTTTTCCCTTTATTGATTGTGTTTTCTATCCTTTTGTTGCAGTAAATCTCAGCTATGAGTATAGCTGCGTGCTGAGACCTGTGCTCCCTCCTAGCAAATGATTGAACCTTGGGGTGATTGGGGACCTCCACCACATTGATCACATGGAGATTTTTATAAGACCTGGGGCATAATTTAAACCCACAGTCTGGTTGCAGGGCCAAGGTTATAAAAGGAACAGGTTATTGTCAATGCAGAGATTCTCACATCTGTAAAAACTAAATAACATAGAGAATTTCTGCCTTTCCCTCACAAAAATATGAATTAACGATAAATAAAACAATGCTGAAGTGGAAGTATGAGCTTATGAGAATCCTTGGTATGTTCTTTCAAGAGTAAATCTGATGGGAAGTCAATTATAAAATGCAAATGAGGAAAATAAATAAATGTGGAAAATTTGAAATTGATCATTAAAAATCAGTTTCTAGCACCAGTTTGTACCTTAGTTAAATGTGGTTGTACATGTGGGGATATTTTTAATATCCTTAAAGCAGTTCATATCTCTGGCTGAAAGAAGGAAGACCCTTATGTTGACACACAGAAAAAATCACTTTAGGTTTAAGGTGACTATTTTCAAAATTAACTGCCAATATCAAAATACTGGTAAGTAGGGAATGCATACTCTAACTAAAAAGAAAATATATACATGTTAAAGTAAAACATATAATGACATTTTTATTTTATAGACTTTAATAGAGGGAGAGGAACTATAAATATGCAGGTGTGTATAATATTATAATTATAATATTATAATTATATATTATAATTTAATAAATTATACACACTCAGTGTGTATAATTTAATAAATTTATAAGGATTAAAAAGATACTGTATGTGAAACTACAAATTGTCAAACAAATGTAAGGTATTCCCATTAACCTCCAATGATTGGACATAGGTAGATAAATGTAGACCTACGATGTCCACTCCATAAAATAGAGAAATTTCTCATTTGCTAATTTTGTCTGTTGCCTTTCAGAAAAGTTATAAAATACTCTCAAGATAACATCAATATTTGTTGGTTTCTTGTTTATGGGGATATCATTTATGTTTATGTCCGATGAAGTTGTCAGTGTAAAAGTTTTGTTTTTCTATGATCTTAATATTTTAGAGAAGGGCTTTAGAATTGCTGAAGATTAGTTAAAGAAATTCAGTATATTGTCACATTTTGATGTCAAAATTGAGGCTCAAGAGATTAGGAATTCCAATCAATCTAAGAGGATTTTGTGTATCCTTATAAAATGTAGTGATGGAACCTTACCGACTCATTGGAAACCATACATTCAACACAGGGAACAGAAAAATATCTTGGAAAAGATATGAATGCATATTAGAAAAATGATTAATAACAGTAAAGATGACTTTTTAAATGACTATTGAGTTTTCCATTAAAGTTATGTTATTCTAAAAGCATCTACTTTGTAAATAATTAAGGGATTCTGATTTCCAGTGATATTAGTTTGTGAACGAACTCAGTTGGTTTTTACTTATAGTTACATATTCTTATTTGAAATCAACAACACTTTTTCCTTACTATTAAATGCCGAGTCAGAACCTAGAGAGGCTAATTTTTTCATCTCTAATTTAACTCATTTTAGCAGACACTATGTTTTTTGAAATATTTCCTCAGTAAAATTTACCAGAAGATCTTAGAAAGCTGTTTCTTTTCTTCATTCTATCTTCCCTACTAATATCTTTGACTTCTCTACAAAATCATTTCTCTTTATTCTCTGAACTGTTCTTTTCTGCTTTTTACGTATAATGGAGAAGCCCCCCTCCAACATCGTACACATGTCATGTCTCTTAAAGTGTGTCTCTAAGAGCTTCACTGAGACGAGCAGAAAAACCTCGGATCACCCCGTACTGCATAAGAATTATTTCAGTAATCTGAAAATGACTGGAAATGTTGAAAAATAAACACATATTTATTTTGCAAAAAAAAAAAGGTGGTAGAAATTGTCTTTGTAAAAACTCATGGTATTCAGAGTAAAACAGCTCTTTTTCTTCAGTGAAGAAGATGCGTGCTCACACCCCCCCCCCCCAGAACAGATGGCTGTGAATGGCGGGAGACACAGTGACCCTCTGCCTGACAACTCACTGGCTGGCCAACCTTTAAGGCAAGAGGTAAGACGTGCCTTTTTTTAGCTTGCCTGTTGGAGGTCCCAGTAGTATACGTGAGGCTAACTTTCGTTTTTCTTACATTGCTGTTATTTAAAAAAACCTAACACATGAATTTATTAGTATTGAAGTTTTTAACAAAGTGCAGAACTGGTAAAAATGTAAAACACATTTTAGCACTTTAAATGCAGTAAGCATTCAGTCGACATTTAGAGCTGATGATGTAGCATTTATTTTATTCTTTTTGGTTTTTCAGAAAAAAATCACAATACACATAAGTGTATCTTTCATGTAATATCAATATAAATTTTGCGTCAGAAAAATCTAATGAAAAGCATTCACTCATTCTACAAAAATGTGTTTTTGGGTTGATAGGAAGGCAAAAACAAATAACCACTGGGCTAAAAAAGCAATTCTGTAAATTTAAAAGTAATTTCCTCAAACAGAAGTAAAATAACCAACTCTCCAAGCATACTATTTTATTCACTTCAAATAAAGCAAATTCAAAATGTGTGCAAACCAGTATAGTTAAGAAGTAGGCAAAGTCATTTATATTTTCTCTGTAATTTTCTTGACATCTTCTATTACTTAGTTGGTCTCTGTCAATCAAAGAATGGCAGAAATTGTAAGCTTTTAGAAAGATGAGTAATTTTCATCTAATTGTAAATTGGTGCTACAAATACATCAGTAATATTAGTAGCCATCAGTTAGTAGAGGTTTCTAGGGTTTACATATAGATGTCCATTCATTAATAAGTTGTATGTAAATACATGTATTAAATATTTAAATGTTATATAACAGTGCATGTCTCAATATTAATTATTTACTATTACATGGTCATATTAATGTTATATCTGTACACTATTTAACTGCATATTATATTTGATGAGTAGAGGCGAATCCTGCTCTAGTGGTTATAAAAGATAGCTGCTTGTCAATCTGAACTTTTGACTTTGGTACTGCCCGTTCAGTATTCAGTGTGTGGCTCATAACCATTAAATTCTGAAAGGTCAACAATTCTCTCAGCCCTGAATGTTAATTTTGACATCATTTTGCCAGGGAAAGGAAGAAATGTGACATGAATTATTGAAGTAGAAAAGCCAAAAAGAATGCTCCTAGGAGAGTGATATCTATTTTTAATTACCAACTTTATTTTCTTCTTTAACATCAATCTAGACTCTTTGCTGATTATGTCAGTTGGCTTTACTTTAAAACAGATCATTTTTTAAAATGTGACTCTTTCTGGCAAGGGGTCATGATTTAATATATGTTAATTATGGGGATTAACACATGTTGTTTGGCACGTTCATTTTCATAACAGAAATGTGACGCGGGCTCTCCCGCTCCCGCCTCCCGACAGGCGGGCTGGCCGCAGCCCCTCCCCGGGCGCTGGGCCCCGTGAGTCGCTTCTGGTGAACAGAAAGCAGCAACGGCCACGTGCTGTCACTGCCGTGCCTTGGTTGCTCACCTTGTCTCTCGTGCCCTCTCCTGCCCTCTTGCTGGCTGCCGGGTCACGAGATGCCCTTGGAGAGGCCGGCGTACTGCCGCAACGTCGAGAACCGGCCCGGCGGCGCTGCGATCCGAGTCCCGCCCAGCCGTGCGGGTCGGGGCGGCGCTGCGATCCGAGTCCCGCCCAGTCGTGCGGGTCGGGGCGGCGCTGCGATCCGAGTCCCGCCCAGTCGTGCGGGTCGGGGCGGAGCCTGCGATCCGAGTCCCGCCCAGTCGTGCGGGTCGGGGCGGCGCTGCGATCCGAGTCCCGCCCAGTGTGCATGTCGGCGGCGAGCTGCGATCGAGTCCGCCAGCGGTGCGGGGGTCGGGCGGCGCTGCGTCCGATCCCGCAGCGTGCGGTGGGGGCGCTGCGTCCGATCCCGCGCGCACCCGTGCGGTCGGGCGGAGCTGCCGATCCGGAGTCCGCCAGTCGTGCGGGTCGGCGCGCTGCATCGAGTCCCGCACCAGGCGTGCGGTCGGGGCGGTGCGCCTGTCCGAGTCCCGCCCAGCGTGGTGGTCGGGGCGCGCGCCTGGATCCGAGTCCGCGCGTTGCGGGTCGCGGGCGGGCTTGCGTCCGATCCCGCCCAGCCGTGCGGGTCGGGGCGGAGCTGCGATCCGAGTCCCCGCCATCCGTGCGGGTCGGGCGGGCGGCTGCGTCCGAGTTCCGCCCAGCCGTGGGTCGGCGGCTGCGATCGAGTCCCGCCCAGCCGGTGCGGGGTCGGCCGTGCTTGCGATGCGAAGTCCCGCCCAGCAGTGCGTCGGGCGGCGCTGCGATCGAGTCCCGCCGTCGTGCGGGTCGGCGGCGGCGCTGCGATCCGTAGTCGCCCAGCGTGCGGGTCGGGGCGGCGCTGCGATCCGAGTCCCGCCCAGCCGTGCGGGTCGGGGCGGCGATGCGATGATCCAGGCCAGCGTGCGGGTCGGGGCGGCGCCTCCCACGCGAGCCGGAAACCGCTGAAGTCGCACAGCTGCCCAGGAAGGGGACCCAGTTGATGTGTGCCTGGCTCCACGGACCGGGGAAGCTGTGAGATAGTAACTGTTTTAAACCACTAACATCTTGGGGTAATTTGTTATACAGCCATAAATAACTAATACAATGGACAGATTGAAGAACTGAATAATTACCTGATGAATTTGGGTTGTGGAGACATACAATTTGCTTAAATTCCAATCAACTGTGATACGATACAGAATCTCTCTGAAGAGATAAGAAGAATTATAAAATATTTTGAACTTACACTATTTTTCTAATAATTCTCTCTCCACACCCATGCTCTACACCTAACATAAGCTTCACTTTTTATTTATTTTACTCATAGAGATAGAACTATAATATTAGAATGTTTCTCTATACTTAATTACTCACTAGCCAAATGAAAAAAATAAAATAATTTGAGAAAAATGCTTTACATCTCATAGGTCCTGGCCATGTCATGTCAAGGAACATGAACTATAACATACATTTATAACACATTCATGACCCACGCACAAAGTTCCCATGGGGTGTTCTCAGCAGAGTGCTCCTTTGAGGTGACCTGCCGGATCACGCCGGTCACTGTGCGTCACAAAGTACAAGAGGCTGGGTTGGCAAATGCAGTCTCTCAGATGGAAATTGCCAAAGAAAATTTTCTTTCAACTTACATTACGTAATTTTTTCACTGCTTTCCCTTACCTTAAGTATGCATTGGTAATTCAAAAAGCATGCTGTGGACAGGTAGAATTCTGAAATACGTGATTAAAGACATTGTGTCAGTTATATGTGAAGTACTAAGAGTTTTCTATATTTTCTTCTTACAATGTTGATATGTCCAGGTGAGTAGGTGTAGGGAAAGTAAAGCTGAAGTTTATTGGGTTAGTTAATTTTGCCAGAGAAACTAAATTAAATTAAGAGGTATTTCTGGTTTAACTTTATTCCAGATCTAAGAACAGTTTTGTGCAAATTTGGTAACTCTGATTTGAAGTTGTTCTGTGAAAGTATTGTGGTTTTCATTTTCTGATGAATATAGCTGATTCTAAATAATTTAGCTGTTGGCTCAAGGGCAGTTTTTGGATGGTACGGATTCTTTTCTTCTGCTTCTGTATTTAGGGCATTCTAATTAAGCATTTCAACCAGAAACAGGAGGCGAACTCAGGTTGTCTTGTGGTTTGGCATATTGACTGTTCTACTAAAGAGGGTTAGCGGAGGAGGAAGTTGGATTTAACAGGAAACTTCAGCTAATTTTCGTGATTCATATTGGGTCCTCTTAACAAAGGAACTAAGTGTTCATTGGTTTTAAATATCGACTCCTGCTGAATCAATACAATGCTGGTGAAGATACAACAGAACAAGAAAGTTTATTCATGAAGGTTGGAATTGACCCTAATGAAAACTGGTTTGTATTTCCATAGCTGAATGTTATAAATATTCTTAACATTATTGCTATGGGCCATTGGACAAACACAGCCTATTAAACCATGAGTCAAATTTACTTACTTTCTGGGAGTTTGCTAGTTTGTTTAGAGAGCAATTGATTTTGATTATCTGTTATTTGCTCAGATTACTTGTAATCAGTCAGGTGTAGTGAGTTATTCAGTATCCAGACACATGTAATCCTGACAAAGTTTGCTTTTCTTGCAGAGGCTTTTAATAGTTGTTGCTTTCAGCCACCTTCAAGAAATGATTCTCTCCAATATTGCATGAAAGATAAATCACATGCTCTATGTAATTTGACAATGGTAGAAGGAGAATGGCTAATTATCTTTATATATTTAACTTTAGACTCATTTACCTATTTTAAAATCACAAGCAGTTGTTGCAATATACAGTTCTTTTCTTCTTATTATTTATTTTTATTTTTTTCTTGAGACAGAGTCTCACTCTGTCACCCCAGGTAGAGTGCTGTTGTGTCATCATAGTGCACTGCAACCTCAAACTCCTGGGCTCAAGTGATCCTCCTGCCTCAGCCTCCTGAGTTCTGGGACTACAAGCATGTCACCATGCCCAGCTAATTTTTCTATTTTTCGTAGAGATGGGGTCTCACTCTTGCTCAGGCTTGTCTCGAACTCCTGAGCTCAAGCAGTCCTCCTGCCTCAGCCTCCCAGAGTGGTAGGATTACAGGTGTGAGGCACCGCACCCAGCTTATACACTGATATTTTATGCCTTCATGCTTTTGCACTGCACATATTTCATGCACTTCATGCTGTTCCTTTTGCTTGAAATTTCCCAACTTTTGCCATTCAAGACTCATCCCAGGTGTCATCCCCAAGAAGATAATTTAAATGCTAGCCCACTCCCAAGCCTGCACAGCTTAGCTGCCTCTCTTCTGTGCTTGTATACCCCAGGTTCACCCCTCTTTCTGAGCACATTTTACTTTGTACCCTAAGACTGATTTATTTGTCTGTCATCTATCTTACCCCCCTGATTATAACACTTGAGGTCAGGAACTATATTCTATTTAACGCTATAGCCAAAATGACAAGGACAGTGCTTGGCACGTAGCTGCTCAGTAATTCTTTATGTGGATAGTTAATAAATGAATAAG